AAAGTTATACCTGCTGAACATTAGCCTGTCATCATTGTCATAGCATGTTAGCATACTCACGTTAGCATTTAGCTTCACTTCTGTGGTTTAGTCTTATGAAAGCACCGTGGGGAAAAAAATATTTTATAAATTGAAATATACTCTACATTTTATTTTGAAATTAAATAGTGTGGCTTTGCAGGACTTAGCGTTCACACAAGTCATCCGACTATTCAAGTATTCACTTTCTGTATAATCAACTGAAGTAAATATCCTCACACATTGTTTTCCATTCCTAACCTCTGCTCTATTTACTGGTCACTGGTTTATGTGGCATGTTGCTGTGGATGTTCACAACCTGATCATCTTCAGGTCAAAGGTCAGCATTTTTTGCAATTCCTGGATAAGCTAACTCTTGGTTTTGTTCTGTTAAATGGCTGTGAAAACATTTGAATTTCCATTACCACATCAAATTTGAAGGCACAAGTGTGTAAATAAAAGAAAAGCTTCACCGCCTCAATGGAGAAATATATCTGCTGCAAAATTGTCAATTAGTACTCTGGTGGAGGAGAACAGACTCACACATTTCTGGGCACCGAAACCCTGCATGCCATTGTGTTGGCACAAGGGAGAGATTGTCAGAAATGTAATTAATGTCCTCCGATGCAGAATTCTAAAAAATGCAGGCAAATTAGGCCAAATCCTAGGAAATGAAAGAAGAAGAATCTGCCATTCTTTCCAGTTCAGTCTTGTACACATCCATCCATCTCATGTAGGTGAGCTTGTTTTCTTTGGTAATGTTATTTTATTTTTATTGAATCCATAAAAAAGAATCTCTTTTCAGTCCCTGACCTGAATGTGACCCATCTACAACTGCAATGGTTTAAATGTGTTTAACAGAGCTGCAGTCAGTGTCGTGTCAGAGAGAGTCTCTGGTATTTCCTGAGGAAAGTGCTCCACCATTAGTACTCTGTAGCCTCTCTATAAGCCGCCCCCCCCCCTTACATGTGTTGTACTTCATTTCAGTCCTTCCTCTATTTTATTTGCCTCTATTGCATTCTGTCTGTCCTCAAATTCACCCTCATTTTATGTCATGTTCTCTCCATTTTTCTAATTTAAACAAACCTTTGTGTTATACACTATTGTCATCGTCTTATGATGAATTTGTTCTTTTTAAATAACTGATGATATCAGTGACTAATGCCCTCCATGTAAACATGATCAGGCTGCTGTACCCAGTGAATTTAATTGGAGTCTGTAATGGAATAATTATCAGTCTTTTTTAAACTCTATGTACATGTGAAGTGCTTCTATTTGTGTAGCATCAACAGAGAAGATCTCATAGCACAGAGCTGAACACAATAAAGTGCTCCCTCCCTCCATCATGGAAAGTATTGAAAGCGGCTTGCTAAAAATTTTGGCAGACCTCAGCAGGTTGTCAGTTCTGATCCAACCAGGACGTGGTCTCTTTTAGTTATTTTGAGGAAGTAGCTTCTGCTGAATGAGATAAATAAGTGTGTTAGGGAGTTTGAAGTTAAAGTGTTAAAAAGTTCTTACAGGACATGAAATAAATCAGAGCAGAGCAGTGCCCAGGAGGAGGGAGCAAAGCCAAGTACAGCAGAGCAGAGAGATTACACTGAGAATGAAATATAAACAGAGCTCACTTTAGGTTTTTATTTGACGTGTACATACTCGTAGTTTGATAACAGTACAGTCATAATCCCGTACGCAGCATCTGTACACCAACAGACGTTCATTTAGCCTAGCTGAATGACAACAGAACTTACAGACATGAGAGACAAAGAGGAAGGAAGGGCAAGAAAAAGGAAACAAAGTGGGAATGAGGAACAAATAAAGTCTGCAGCCAAGCTAGCAGCTAGAACTGATTGAGTTATTTGCCAACAACAGCATCCTGACCCAATCTTAGCAACACAACATGTAATCGCATTACCCCACAATGGCCACCATTAAAGATGAGACGTTTAGACTGTTAGGAGAACACCGACTGTGCACAACAGTGCTTTACAGTATATAGTCAATGTGAATGCACTGATGCACTCAAAATAGTGAGTATGAGTACGGACGAACACAAATTAAGACAAAGAGTCCAAGTTTACAGCTTTGACCGCAGCTGTGGTTTGCTGTCCTCTCAAAAGATAGACTATTACACATTCACATTTAAATTAGGAAAAACTTAAGTATAGTAAAACAAAGGCCTTTCATTTAATGAATTATACTGTGATGCAAAAAATACTTCTTATTAATAACAATATTTCAAATCAACAGGACTTAAAGGAGATCTGTAATGCTGATCCATATTTAAATATATACATTTAATGTCACAATGATGGATGTCCACACTAAACCTCGGCAAAGTCTTTTTTACGCACAAAATAAGCAGTTGTTGGCGTAACTCCTGGCTGTGGTTTCCTGCTGCTCGGACATGACGTTACAAGAACCTGCCTTCAGGTTCTGTCGACGTATTAGAGCAAAGCATTGGAGCAAAGTCGTAGGACACGCCCACCCTGGCAGCTCTTTCAAGCCCACGCCCACCCGGAAGCTCACTCAAATCTTTCCACGACTGCAATCAGAGCTGGCGAATCAGAGGAGAGGGAGCAAGTGCGGAGGGGGGGGGGCTTAAAGAGACCGCAGGGAGAGGCTGACATTGAGGGATATTACTGACACATGTATACGAAAAATAAGGAGGTTTTTGAGCCAAACATCTCGCAACGCTCCTCAATAAGTGTCCCAGACTGACGTAATATATTGTGAAAGTGACTATAATAGATCTCCTTAAAAGTCTTCGGCCACACAAGTATCTCTATGAGGATGCCTGTAGGCACAGCAGCTTTGAACTAAAAGCGAACATTAACATGCTTACAATGGCAAGGCTAGCATTGTAACATTCAGAAAATACTCTGTTTAATATGTTTCAATCTTTGTTAGCATTTGCTACTTATCATCTAACATAATGTACAGCTAGGACAGGCAGATATCCTATTAGTTTTGCAGGTTTTTGCAGATTATTAACCAAAATATTAGTACACTGGTCAAATATGTACTGATGGTAGCCTGAGAGAAATGCATTTTCCTAAATATGAAATCAAATTAATTCCTTTAATGAATTGATTATTTGAAAACATGTTCTACCGTCCTCTAGGTTCCGGCTTTTGCTGCTTTTTCTGATTTTATATTGAATGTGTTTGGTTCATGTATGAGACAGTTCTGGCTGTTTTAAAGACTAAACCAAGTGAACAATGGAGAGAACACCCGGCATATCAGACAGTTAGGAGAATCGTTTCAGTCTGGACCGACCAACAGACAAGATCTGTTTTTTTGGAACAACTATTGGAGAGAAATGCAAACAGCACTTGGCATGGTGTTTCTGTTGGACAGAAGACAAAATATCCTGGACTAATCTCATCTCCGATAGAGGTTTAACGAGAGTCGACTAATTGGCTTGGTTTGCAGCATATAGGCTAAGAGGTTTAGTTCAGCTTTATTTGAATTAACTGCACAGTGAGAGACAAACACTGATAGTTTTTATAATGCAAACTGGTAAATCTAGAAATGCAACTTTAAACCTTTTTTTGTCATTCATTGAAATCACAGACTCAGTATACATTTCAACGTTTTTCAGCTTGCTAACAGTTGTTCCACTGTTTCCTTTGCATGTTACATATACAGTCAAAGCTTTGTTTCCACAGAGAGAGAGAGAGAGAGAGAGAGAGAGAGACGGGAAATGTGATATTCAAGAACAAGTCTTGAGACTCACCGATCAATAAATACAGAAAAGATGATCCTGAGGGAGAGACCCAGCGAGGCAAATAAGAGAGAGAATCAGAAGCGGAGAAAGAGGAAAAAAAGGAGGAGTGAAAAGAGATAGTCAAACAGATGTGAGAGAGGACGAGGATACTTGGACGAGACAGAGTGAAACCTGATGGAAGTCAGTACAATCTCCTGTGTTGTTAAAAAGTGAAAAGCCTGTCTGGTGCTCATTCCATCACCATGACAACGCTTCCAGCAAATAGGGGAGATAGAGAGAGAGAGAGAGAGAGAGGGGTCGGGAAGGATAAAGACATAAAAAGGTGGAGAAGATGTTTGAGGCAAAGAGTGAGGATATAAGCTTTGAGAAACTGTGTGTGTGTGTGTGTGTGTGTGTGTGTGTGTTACTGTTTAACCTGTGCATTTGAGTGTGTGAGACCATCTTGTGAGCCTTGTTGCAGTGAAATCAGTCTATTAACGGTAAGACTATCTTATCTGTGTGTGTTTGAGTGTGTGTGTGTGTGTGTGTGACAGGTACAACATGCAGCTTTACTGCCATCAAGAAGGCCTTCATTATGTCAGACAGAGATTAGATAGACTGATAACAACTCTCTCACACAAACACACACCTCTTTAAAGGGTACAGACACAGAACCATGGAGCAGACCTTTGACAAGCTGAGGTGTGTTTATGTGAGGTCAAAATGACAAGTGTGTACATTCTGGATATTCATGACGACAGCAGGAAGGAGAAAAAAAAAGGGGGGAGTCAGATGTCGTAAATCCTCTCAGAGTAAAACCATCCAAGCATTATGTTGTTTAGAGCGCTGTCTCATCTCAAACACATGACGACATATTTTCCTTTCTGCATTTCATTCGAACCGTTTTCTTTTATATGCACAGACTTGTGTTATAGATATAAAGTTCTCAGTCTTGAGGCCTTGCACTAAGCCTCAAAAAGTGCACACCTGACCCTTTTTATACACTTGTTGATGGATTTCACTGGGTTTCAATACATCTTCAGAATATTTGTGCATCTGTTTTTTTTTTTTTGTCTCGTTCAGCCCATGGGTCCAAAACTCATCTTAGAAATCTCTTAGCACCTTAAGTATTTCTCCTGTGTTAAAATACAAAGAGGCTTTTGTGATTGTGCTGCTTCTCTGTGAGCGTGTGAAGTCCACGAGACAGCAACAATATCTCCTTTTGTTTTCAATCGATGCCTACTTTTAATGTGCAATGTTTATGCTTGTGTTGCAGATTTGGTTCAGAACCCACTCCGTGCCAAACGTTCAAGTATGTGTCCCTCCTCGTATCTTATGTCAATCAGTTTCAGTAATCAAACTAATCTACATCTGAACTCGAGCAGAAATTATCCTCTGTGATGTAATCCCTCAACAATCAAATTCAGTGATTCATGATGTGATTCTGCACCTCTATGCTACCCTGATTTTATCAATTACTAAAGATCACATTATTGGAATCTTTATTTATGAGTTGACCTAGGCACAGTTGTTCAAATAGTAAAATTTAGCTCATAATCCCTTTTTTTCTATCTGGGAGAGCCATGTTTATTGTGCCCTGATTTTTTAAAAGTAAACTTGATACAGATTATTCAATCAGTGATTCATGATGTGATTCTGCACCTCTATGTCTCTTCTGTACCTATGCTACCCTGATTTTATCAATTACTAAAGATCACATTATTGGAATCTTTATTTATGAGTTGACCTAGGCACAGTTGTTCAAATAGTAAGATTTAGCTCATAATCCCTTTTTTTCTATCCGGGAGAGCCATGTTTATTGTGCCCTGGTTTTTTTAAAGTAAATTTGATCCAGATACAGATTATTCAAGATTACCAATCCGCCAAAATCCACACAAAATGAAAATTCCTTACAGTTGTTTTAATGAAACATTTATATTTGATATTGATTAATATTCAGTGGATTATGTTATGGTGATGAAATCATGAAACAGTCCTCAAATCTGTTTGATGATTTCTACAATGTCTCAGTTGTAATGCAACATTCATGTGTCAAATATATAAAACATGACTACAGTATAAACTACAGTATCAACTACAAACTGCATGTTTTGTCCAAGGATTTACTACATTTTGTTCCTGAAATCTAAGGATTTACTACATTTTGTTCCTGAAATCCAGCTGCAGCTATGTCTTAATCAACAAGATTTAAAAAAAATGCACTGATGAAAGAAAATCTTTTTATTACAAAATCACTTTTCTTTTTCTTTTTTTTTTCAATAAACCGTCACAAATGCTTCACATTTCAGCTGATAGTAATTCTGGTTTTGTCTTCTCGGTTTAAATGAAGTTAAACTAAATGATCCGAGCAAATTCATTTTTTTATGAATTAAGGAAACAGGACAGGAAGTGATTATGGAGGCATAATGGAGGCATCCATTAACCCTGCTGCTTCGGTTAAATGGCCCTCTGTTAGCCCTCATGCCCCACAGTCCAGCTGTAGTTTCCCTGGGCAGTCATTGAAGGCCTTGTAGGTTCTCACTTACACAGAATTTTCTTGGTTACTTAGATATTTATCGTATTAATCAACGCAATAGGAAATACAAAATCAGAAAGCAGTGCAAAATATGAATCTTTGATATAAAATAGAAATCTCTTACGCCAGCGTCACACTGGCTGTGTATTGGTTGGGTGTTAGCTGTGTGACGGTTACCACATTTACTGGTTGTTTCGGATGTCTTTATATAAGTTTTGAGAACTGGGCTTATCAGAAAACAAAGTTATTTACATAAATAATGGGTCATCGTTTACATAAGGCATAGCGCTAAAACAACTGCAGAAACAAATGGGAGAGAAAAACAGACAGGTTTTTTTCTTTTTTGCCATGTCCAGGCGTAGCTCCTGGTGTCTTTTAAACACGTTTCTATGGTTAGGATCAAAACGGATTTAATTTGCATTATTTACAGGTACTTACTTTATATACAGGACAAAACAAATCCAAGGTCAGAGGGAAACAGAGAGATGGAGAGGGAGAGAGAGAGAGAGAGAGCCATACATAATATCACCCTCAACCTGATCTTATATAATTATTTACATAATGTACTTTGATTCTTCTTTTATTTCAAATACAGTTTTGCAGGGTACCCAGTAAATTGCCTTAATATCAACTTGTAACAAACAACTGTCGTGGTACGACTTCAGAATAAAAGCATTGTGTGCAAACCAGGGGAGTTTCTCCACAGAACAACCAAACAGGACTTTTTCTTACCAGAAGCATAAAAAATAGGCGAGGCCTTTATTTTCTAGATCTTCAGCGCTTGAGACTCGAGACACTCATGTGATGCGCTGCTTGATGAGATGCAGGTCCAAATTGGAAATGGAGCCGACACACAACTCACACGCAGCCTGTTTGAAACCGATGTTTGAGTATTCCTCAATTCCTCTGATCTCAGTGGATCAGGTCACATGCAAGGATTTCCAAAAACAGAATCACAGTAATTGCTTCTTTATAAAAAAAAAAACTGTATCAAGCTTTAGTCTGCAGACACAAGTGCGACTCACTGATATTTGCTTTACACTTGTAATATTTGCATACCAGGATGTTACAGGCATCCCTCTGTTTGTACTGTAAAAACTTCCTCCACCACATGACAAGAGATGTGTATATAAAGCGATCAGGGTTGAAGCCTCCAGCAACTGCTGAACAAGTAACAGGTTCAGTATGCACATGCTGTTTGGAACCCGGTCAGTGTTTGCTAGAGCTTGAAGTCTTGAGCCATAACCATGCAGGCCTCCTGAAATGGTCTGGTCATCATTTTTAAAGGTTGCCCACTGTAACCCCGCCTCTTCCTGCTGGCTTAGGGTGCCTTGCAAAAGCTGCAAGTGTCAGCAGAAGATAGCAAGTCTTTCCTTAAAGGCAGTGATTCTTGTCCACAAGCCCTGCTTATCTCAGCTGTATATTGACATGAGATTAAAAAAACAATAAAAATGAAATCTTAATACTAGAGGTAATAAAAGCAAAGGCTTTGGCTTGGATGTCATCATTGAAATGACTCTGAAATGATCTGAAAATGCTGGAGGTGCTAGTTTCAGTTGACTCAGCTGAAGGAGAAATGACCAACATCCTGGGAGTTCCACGTAATAGCTCTATAAAAAGGTAGATGTGAAGTATATAGAGCTGCAGTCCCAGGGGTACAAATACCTCATGGAACAGCGGTCAGAAGTATGAGTCACTCAAACTGGCGGGAAGGTTGCAGGTAATCAAATATCATCTAGGTACATCTGCAGCAAATTTTACTGGAGAGCACAACTCAATACATTCTGAGTGAGATGTGCAATAACAGGAGATCACATCGAGTTTATTTTCTTTAGCAAAAAAAAGAAAAAGGCGGTGAGGCTGATGTGAGCACAGAGTGACAATAATTGGATGAGCAAAGAGTGCATATATGGCAATACGAACAACAATTTGTTGCGTTAAGAAATCTTCACAGAATAGATAACAATCCTGCATCACACTGTGTGGACGTGTTTCTGACCTCAACAAACGTCAGCCGTCTTTATTCACCCTCTCACTTCGACTGTGCTGCCAAACTCAATCATAAATAATAGAGCATCCCTGCTGTAACATATAAACAAACCTATGGGCCCCGTGGGATTCTGTGATGGAGAACATCAGCGTGAGGATTTCATTCCTGGCCTTGGTAATCAAATGTTTTTAAACCACAGCAGTACTCTGTGTGTGCGTGTGTGTGTGCGTGTTGGACTGTATGGTTGAGTGATTCTCTATTGAACACTCTCTCTCTCTCTCTCTCTCTCTCTCTTTGAATGGCCTAATGCAGACACTCCATTTCTCACCCAGTCTGCCTAACTGTCTTCCCAAACAAATGATTGACTTTCTGCCAATGTTACCTTTTTTGACAGCTGCCTTTATGTCGGTCTTTCTCCTCCTCTGTCTCACTCTCATGTTGCCCGCCATGTTCTCTGTAGCAAAAGCCGAACCAATAAAAATATATAGTGTATAGAAGAGCTTTTTTCTTCAAATTCAGTCACTTTTTTTTTTCTTTTTTTTACCTCTCAAGGAGGTTTATTAAATCCACATGCATTTTAAGACGAGCTGGGAACTGAGTCTTGCTTTCATCTGTCATTCTCATCTCTGTCACATCTAATCTATTTTGTCACATCCAATCTACCGTTGTTGGATTCTCTCTATGATGAGTGAATAAATACTTATTTGTATAATGTCAGATTGATAGTTATTTTCTGTTCTCTTCTCGTTTTTCTTTTGAGAAAATTGAGTATGATGATATAAAGAATCAATAACCAACAATTGCATCAAATGAAAAGACACCCCAACAGCGCGGTGTGAATAGTTATTATCAAATTCAGTGTGACGTTTGAATGCTAAAAGAGTTTTATTTATAGGTATTCTATGATACATCTTTAGTAACCCTCACCCTGAAGTGATTTAGTCCACCAGCTAGCGACATACGCCAACTAAAGATATTTTAAATTGAATGACATGTACAACATTTAACATCTACTCAAACTTAAAGCTGCACTTATACATTTAAAAAAAACAATAGAAAAACAATCAATTATGTGCAATGTGTAGTTGTTAGTGTGTAAACTGTCTCTTTTCATGATGAACCCGCAAATAATTATGATCCAGTTATGTAATTTCACTCGACTCTTCCCACAAAACAAACAACTACATTTCTCTGCTGTCATGAGCTTACATCTTCTTACCATGTTACCTGTCACTTACTTTAAATATTTGAGCATGAAGCGACTAAAGAGCTAAATAATCCCCTCAGGTGATGACAAAAAAAACCAGCTTAAAAAGTGTGAACGCTTGTTTGCCTCCATCAGCGGGATGGGAACAGGACTCCTAATTAATGCTAATGTGGTTGTGTTTTTTGAAAGTGTTAACTAGTAGTAGTTTGCTTACTAGTTGGCCATATCAACTTTAATGGGTGATAATATGTCAGGTTAAGTTTAAAGTTTGTTTCACTGCGTTAATGAGTTCAAAAGAAACTTAAAGGACTACAGGAAGATGTCTGTTAGCATAATACCTGAACCTGTGAGACAGCTGTCATTCTGTGGGTCTCGTAACCTGGTGCAGTTTTGAAGTTCACTCTGTGTTGTAACAAATTGTCTCCACCAATAAGGGAGCAGGTTTGTGTTTTTTTTTTTGTCATAATGTTGTAAATAAACTCAATGATGTATAGATTATTCTTTTGTTGTTCTTGTTCTTCCCAGGTGGTCGTCGCCGGTCTGAGCCCGACGAGGCAGAGCTACTCAGGGTCAGCAGGCGATTGGTCGAAGATGCTGTCAATCGCGCCTTACAACAGTACAAACAGGAAACACTCCAAAATGGGGGCGGGCCTAATGCCACAGCAATGCAGCCCCCTGGAAATACTGAGGAAACTGACACAAAGTTGGACACTACAGCTAACTCCACCACAGGCAACAGGAAGTGACATCAACGGACTGAGTTACAAAGACTTGGAAAAAGGATCCGCCCAGAAAACATCAGCCAGGCCTGGCAGAGCAGGAGAAGGGTCAGGGAGCTCTGAGCACAAACGCCTGAACCAGCCAACCAGTCAGCCCAGTTTGCTGATCCAAACCCAGCTAGCCAGTCATGCTAGCCTCTGCCCAACTAAACGAGCTGGAAACCGTGCTAGTAAAATGTAGCTTGAGTTCAGTGCTATGTGACTGACCCAACAGGCCAGCTAGCTCAGTCAGCTAGTTTACTCACGAACTGTGGTGTCCCTCATCTGACAGCAAGGCTACCATCCCTCCATCTTTAACTCAGCCGAGGGTCCAAATACCTGATAAGCACTCCTGTAGAGACACACAAGCACACGTTGGGTTCCCTTTGACCTGTCAGTCACAAACTGCCCTTTTGAGAAAATGATAATGAGATTTTTGACATTTATGTTTAGCCTTTCTTTGGAAAAATCTGTGCTATCTTCAGGATTTCTCAACTGCTCACCTTAAGGAGGATGTGTGGGAGAAAGCTGCATTGATCTATGGCGTCTTAAGTTGTGACTGGATTCTTCAAAATTTGGTTGGAACTACAGTATGTTGAATTTGGTCTGTGTCGGATATTTAGTTTTCTGTTTTTGTAGTCTGGGTTCATAGCACTGCATACAAAACTGCATTTTTGTATTAATTCCAATTCTTTAAAGTTGTCAAACCACAACTATACTTGAAGTATTATGATAACAAAGTGTGTCCCGTGGAGGAAGCACTGAGACAATCATGAAGTGAGGATAATTTGATAAGCTCTGAATTTACATATTCAAACTAAAAAATAAGCGACGTCAGTTTTTAAAAAGCTTAATCTGGACCCTTCTGTCGGGCCCTCAAACACTATAGATGCAAACAGCTGTTACCATGTTTATTCATCTCCACAGCACAAAAGAAGTTAGGGGACTTAGACATTATTAGTGATGCTTAAAATGAAACTACACTGCTAGAGAACACTACCGTTGACACGAATGCATTTTGCCCCCGTTAATGCCAAACCCTCCTTTAAAACCCTCGAGTGACGGGCTACTACGTACAGACACAGCTTCCTGCTTCTTCATTTAGCATTTTATTCTTTTCTTTATTGTTATAATTTATCATCAGTTTCCCTCTGTTAAATGAGCTTGAAGCAGCAGCACAGTGCAAATATTATGTTTCGTTTTTTGTTGGTGTTAGAGTCTGGTCTGGACTGGAGCCTCAACCTGTTGGGTTGAGGCTCAGTGATATATTGGAGGTGTTAATGCTGATCTGAGAGGCTGTTTTTGTTTCAGTATTGTTATTGTGAGAGCAGTTAATTGGATGCTGACAGGATGCTGATAGGTTAATTTAAACAATCCCTGCTGTCAGTTGAAAACCATCCAGGACATACATTTCATTGTCTTCCACCCATTTATTAAAAAGAAAAAAAAAAGTGTTTAAACTTGAAAATGAAAAAGGCTTTTCCTGCTCTGCATCTTCCTCCAGCTAATGAATCCCCTTAAGAAACACACTGTGTGAGTTTCTTTAAAAACTCCACTTCCTGAAAATGAGGCTTTCAACTTACAGCAAGCGGACGACGATGATGAAACTGTGATAACACAGGTTATTGCTTTAAGCTCTAACTTTATTTATGTTTTTGTTTTTTTAAACTTTTAAACTATTATTTGTAATGATTTGGTTTGAAATTAGGAGAGATAATAAAAAGAGGTGTCAGATGAAAAAGCACAACATTTTAAGTAATCTTTAATTTAGTCTTTGGTTTCACTTTTAAAAATCAGAAAACTTTGTTGGTAAATCAAACAACCTCTAAACGAAGTGGCCAAAAGTCACCAATACAAATCGATGTATTGTTTTGTTTGTTGTGTATTTTAAACTATTATTTGTAATGATTTGGTTTGAAATTAGGAGAGATAATAAAAAGAGGTGTCAGATGAAAAAGCACAACATTTTAAGTAATCTTTAATTTAGTCTTTGGTTTCACTTTTAAAAATCAGAAAACTTTGTTGGTAAATCAAACAACCTCTAAACGAAGTGGCCAAAAGTCACCAATACAAATCGATGTATTGTTTTGTTTGTTGTGTATAATTGAGGTGACAAAGCAAAGGTTTAGCCAGTTTGCTTGACGATGGCTCATTTCACTGTGAGATTGCCAAAGTCTCTAAAAATGTCAAGCTGTAGCTAAAAAAGTTGGACTCTCGATTTAAATGTCAGAATGATTCACTTGAAAACGCTATTTTTGTTATTTCTTTGATGACATTCAGCAACATGAGGTTTGTTTCCTCAAGTGTGAACAGGTGTGAGCTGGGAGATGTGCTGTCATCCCTGTGAAATCCACTCGAGTCCTGTCACTGCAGGCTTTCTGAAATCCTCAATCCTGTCTTAAGGTGGACTTTGAACGTTTTTGTTTTGATCTTTTATTGTCACCGGATCCTTAATCTCCTTAAAATCCCCTTTAATACACAAGTTGTCCTGTTGGCCTGTGTGTTCAGTCTGTTCTTTGTGTCTTATTTGACTGTGTGTGTGTGTGTGTGTGTGTGTGTGTGTGTGTGTGTGTGTGTGTGTGTGTGTGTGTGTGTGTGTGTGTGTGTGTGTGTGTGTGTGTGTGTGTGTGTGTGTGTGTGTGTGTGTGTGTGTGTGGTGTGTGTGTGTGTGTGTGTGTGTGTGTGTGTGTGTGTGTGTGTGTGTGTGTGTGTGTGTGTGTGTGTGTGTGTGTGACAGTCGGATGTGTGATCGGTGGTTCCCTAGAGACACTTTTGTCTTAACCAATCATGGCACCTGGGAGCGTGTGTGCGCGCGTCTGTACAAATTTGTCTTTCCATTTGTCAGTGTGTATGTCTGACTGTGTGTGTTGTTTGTACTGTGTTGTATATACTGTTCTGCCATATTTGAACAATAAAACAGGATATGAGTTTGAAAACCACTATCCTTTCTTCTTCTCCTGATTTCAGTCCAAGTGCTCGTGTTCGCCCACAGAGCTCGCTGATTGAGTGGACACTACCTACAGTATGTTTTCATGAATGCAGAACTGATTTCAAGGTCGCTTTATTTTCTGAAAGGAACTGTCTAACCCCCCACACATTTTCTATTCTACTATTAAAGGGCTTTCAGGAGTGTTATTGTTGTTTATGTTTGGACGCATTTATTTTAGGGTAAAGGTTTTGAAAAAGGAATCACAATCCTGAAAATCTGACAAGTTTTTTTTAAAGAAATGGTTTAAAAAGTAACACACTGCACAGTACTTTCATGTGTACCAGTCAGTTTAAGTGTCAGATAAAATCATTGTTTTCCAGAAACAAACATCACCGCTCCTTTAGAAAAATACATTCACAGACTTTTCAAAATGTTTGGAGTAATACCAAATGGTGCATGTTTACTTTAAGAGTAAAGCACTTTGTCTTTTGCTCATTTAAAACCAAGGTTTACCAAAGGATAAAAGGCTCTTCCCCCGATCAGTATGCATGCACATATTGTGCCTGATTACAACTCCTCTGAGGACCGTCTTTAAACGTACACTGTGCTTGATTGAGGTATCTCTTCTATAAATAAACTACATTCTTCTTCTTGTGGTTGGAAGGAGAACAAGTCCATTACTTGGAAAATCTTGCAATGGTGTTCTATTTCCCGTTAGTTAGACACACTTAATCCATACTTACCCTTTCAATGTGAAATAGTTGCAGGATGTCAGAGGGTGAACTTGACAATAATTTTGTATTGGGGGAAAAACTGAGCAGCTGGAAGGTAAAATTTAAAAAAGGACATGATACTGAAGTTCGAGTTGTTTCAGTTTCACATGATTGGAAATCTATTGAGACAGCCTGAAATGTGATATAGGGTATTGCAGTACAACATGTCATATGCTTTTATATTCCCAAACAACAGCCTTAACAGCTTTTCTGTATATTAAGGATGCCACTAGAAACAGCTTGTAGAAGAACAGCATACAAGATTATTTATCAGTATACAACAAAAAAAAACAACATCAATGCAATGCTAATGAGCGCAAAGTCAGTAAAAGATAGCAAAGTGTCAGGATCAGTCTTTTCCCATTTTAAGGGTAAAATACGTTTTTGAAGCACATGTAGAACTTTTTACACCAAAATATCTTAATTCAAAATGGACCAATGTTGTATTTTTTATTGAGTACTTAGATTACATCAAATGTAACTGTAGTCAAAGCCAGAAAAATCCTTCAATTTATATTTGTAATGGGACGTTTCTTGTCGCAGCGCCCGCCATGACAGACACAAATGTTTATTGTTGCTGTGTTTGGATGTTACGTTAAAGACTGCTTCATGAAGAAGTGGGAACTGCGACTGAAAGCTGCCGAACTGTTGCTGTGATTAAAAAGGAAATGTAAATGATACTTGGATACATTAGTTTGTCGGTAAGCATATTTTCTTCCTCAGGTCTGTTTTGCCTGTTCGTCTTGACTACTGTCAACTCAGGGTTATTTTTTCATCAGTGATGAGGGTGGTGTAGTAGAAAGAATGACTCCCAGTTTTCCCTGCCAGCCTCCACATCATCTTTTGTTGTTGATTAAGAGCCCCCTGGCAATGAAATGGGCATAGGCCTACTGTGCTTACTTGATACAGTTTTAATTGCTGCCGATCTTTTAATGGCTTCTCTTTATACCCCTCTGTCGGTAATTGGTTTTACATTAAATTAAAATCAAGGATAAATGAGCAATAGGCTTCCCAAACAGGAGGCATTTAGAAGGTGAGTTAATGAGTCTGGTGCCGACCATGTCATGACTCCTTATGGCCAGCAGGTGGCTGGTGGAATAATGCACAGTGGGAGAGGGGTTGTTTCACATAATATAGAAAACAAGCCAACAAACAAGTTGACAGAATAGATGCAGTGTTTTAGCCAAGCAGCAGCATAACAGCAGCCAGTTTTATCGACGTCCAGCATAATGAGACGTTTGATGAACAATAATGGGCTTCCTCTTCCTCCTCCTGACATTTAGGGGGCCTGAAGCAGAAATGATAAAGTCTACCTCTTCAGACCTGTTGCATAATAAAAACTGAGACTGAAATAATGGTATTGTGGTGAATAACCACACAGCAAACACATGAAAGAGAAGGAAAAGAGTTGCTGCTCTTTTCCTATGATTACCAAGATCCCCTCTTACTAAACAGTGTGAAACGTGGTTATCAAGGTGTTACCAACATGAATCCCTTCCAGCTTTCATTTCACATCTTACACATCATACTGTGACAATCTGTTGTTCACGGAGAGTAATATCGACAAATCTGATATTATAATGAAGTCCCTGGCTGAGTTGTATGTTATACAGTGTTGGGATGAGTGCATATTGAATGACTGAGCAGACATTTACAACCTTGGTAACTGTGAATGTCAGAGTCGTAGTGGTTTACATTTTTAAAAAAGACAAAGTTGGACTTGCTCTCCAACCATCTCTTTCACATCTCGGTGTGCAGATTTATGGGTCAATCATAAAAATGATGTCAGATACCTTACTTTGAAAGACAGGGTTTCTTATTATTGACAGATTCTTTCTAATCTAAGATAATTTTCAATGGAAAGTTTAAAGCCACAATATGTAGGAATTTGGTTTGCTGCGCTTCGGCACCCACCAATGGTCTCTCAGTGCAAATGCACTGACATAAAACACATGTTGCTGTTACGCCTCCCCTTCTTAGAAAATGTGTTTTGGTGAAAAGGACAGTGTGGCAAAGATGTTTTAAGAAGCCAAGAACCATGAGAACTGACAATGTACAATAATATTTCCATATTTAATGTTGTCTTTGTTGTTTGCAAGCTTTTGTATGTGGATTATGTGGATGTGTATTCCACTGTTCCCATGTCTCTATGTGAGATGGGTTTCAAAGGTTTCAAATTTAAAAAGCTAACTTGAAGATCAACAAGGAAAGAAATAACCTTTGTGGTGATTTATTCATCTATTGTATTTGTATGCAAGCCTGAGACAACACTTGGGTAAGATGACCTTCTGCTTCTGGTAAAGCTGCTCAACATGAGACAATGATGATGCTGATAACAATACAGCCTAGCATTACATCCACATGCAATTGGACTATTTCACATGCATTGCTTCTCTATCTCAAGTGGGGATTGAACAGGCATTTGGAATTAACATTTGAGGGGGCAGTTGCTTCACCCCCTGAGCTATGGTCCTGCTCCTACCAGTCATCAAGAGGACTGATAAGGTTTTGAATGAATTGTAATATTGCATAACTATGTTGTGGTACACAGGGTTTTTGAACCAGTGTTTGGATTTAACCTCTGACAAAAAAATACTAAATAAATAGTCAAATTCCTGCAGGGCTCCTGGGTACAATTCCAAAAAAGTTTTCCAAATATATTTGGTGAAAATTCCAATATGTTTCTGAGAATTTGCCTGAAAATTCCTGAGATTTTAGAACATTTCCAGGGTAATTTTGAGGATCTTCTGGGAGAAACAAACTTGTGAATATTCCCACCAGGTTGCCAGGAAAATTCCACAACGTTTCTGATTATTCCTGATGAAAATGATTGTAAAATAATTGTATTGCAGATGCAGTAGATAAAGACAGATTTTAATTGGAACATTTTACTGATGATCTGCAGCCACATTTGGAGTTCACCTTTGACTCCAGCAGCAGTTGCTAAACCACTGAGCTATTGGTCCAGACTCAGAGGAATAGAGAGTTTTGAGTTCATTGCAGTGTTGCATG